AATCAAGGTAACCTAGAACCTCGAGGATGCTAGGGACTTCGTCATTTTTTCTACCTTACCACAGTATGACGAACATCTGGAGGACCCATGGGGTGGAGGGGATGATCAAGGGAGAAGCTAGAGCAATCAGATGGGGGGTCAACGGGTGGAAGAAGTTAGTATACATCGCGGCGGAGGGGAAGAAATTCACCGGAGAGGTTTAAAGAGGATGTTAGGGATGGGATGTTGGTGGAAATGATGAGGGCTTTAAAGGAGTAGAAGACGGCTGTCAACCAGAAGAGTGAGGCTTTGACAGAGATAGTACAGGAACTTAGTCGAGGACAGCGGGGAACTAGAGAAGAATTGGAGACAACTTGGTCAGCTCGAGCGCTGAAACAGAAGGATCCTAACGAGTTGGATGGGTCAAGAGAGAAGCTCCCTGGTTTCTTGACTCAGTGTTCGTTGGCATTGAGCGTGATGAAGGATAGGTTTCCCAGTGAGGAGCAGAGTGTGTTGTGGACGGTAGGGTTCTTCAGAGGGGTTGCACTGCGAGCGGTGCAGCCTCATCTACTTTCTCCTCCTCTTCCTCCTTTCCTCTCAAATCACTGAGAGTTCGGTATTCGGATGAAGAAGAACTTCGGTGATCCAGATTAGAGGGGTACGGCTATTCGGGGGATGAGAGAGATGAAACAGAAGCAAGGGAAAGCATCAGCGTATTTTGCTGAATTCCCAAAAGTATATGCTATATTAGGGTGGAGTGAGGAGGAGATGTTAGTGGCTCAGGCTATTAACGGGCTGGACGAAGTTATGAAGGACGAGCTTTCCCGGAGAGAGGAGATTGGGACTATGGAAGAACTGAAGGCAGTGGTGATCAAACTGGATAATAGGATGAGCGAGCGTTGGGTGGAAAGACAGGCTAACGGACAGAAAACAAATTGGGGAAGAGCGCCTAACTTCGTACCATTGACGGCGAAGTTATCGACGACACCCGCGAAGAAACCTGTGGCCTCGGCGTCGGCTCCTCCTCCTTTTCGGAGTAATTTAGTGACAGGATCACAGGGTTGGAAGCAAGGGGATCCTCTTACCCCTAGGCCTAGTTTCGACCAGAGAGAAAAATGGAGGGCCGAACGAGCGTGCTTGGAGTGTGGTGGCCAGGGACACTATGTGAAAGATTGTCCTCTAGTAGCGGCTAAGGTAGCTCTAGGAAAGATGAATCCTCCGGAGATGTGGAAGAGTTCAAGAAATAGGGGATTCAGGAGCGACTAGTTCATATATAAGCCCAAAAACAGTGGAGGAGTTAGGATTGGAAGTTACGAGATACCCAGAGGAAGTACCTGTACGTATGTTCGATGGTTCAGAAAGTATAGGAGGCCCCATCACGAAGTTCGTTGAAACAGGGATCCGCGTGTCAGAGGAGGACGAAGTTCGTGTGATTCGCTTGGATGTCACGAAGTTGTGTGATGCAGATGTGGTGATAGGATGGGAATGGATGAAGAAGGCGGGAGTGGTCCTGGATGTTAGGAGAGAGGTGATAGAGATCCCGGGTAGACAGAGAAGAGAGGAGAAGAAATTAGGAGCAGTTTTTGGATTCAAGGAAGGAGAAGTTTTAGGGCCTAGAGACTCGGCGTTGGAAGACGAACTTAGTGAGGAAGAACAAGAAGAACTGTTGGAGTTGGTACCTTCTGAGTACCACGGTTTCTTGGATATCTTTAACCCTAAGGTAGGAGGAGAGACGTTACCTCCAAACCGAAGTTATGATTTAAGACTGGACCTAGTGGAGGGGGCGAAATTAAAGGTGGCCCCACTGTACTCGTTAGCTGAAGATCAGAGAAAAGCGTTGAGGGAGATTCTGGATAAGGAGGTAGCGGCTGGTAGAATTCGCAAGAGTAACTCGCCGTATGGGTCACCTATGTTCATGGTTCCCAAAAAGGTAAAAGGACAGTGGCGGATGGTAACGGATTATAGGAAGTTAAACGAAGTTACCATCCCAGACGTTTATCCTCTTCCATTGATCAGTCAAATCACTGAAGAATTAGGTACAGCAAACTATTTCACGAAACTCGACTTGATGGGGGCGTATCAATTGTTACGAATCGCGGAAGGGTACGAATATCTGACGGCTTTTCGTACACAATACGGGATGTACGAATCGTTAGTAGTTAGGGATGGTTTGCGAAATGCGCCTGCTGTTTTCCAGCACTTCTTGAACGACATCTTTAGGGATTTGCTTGGGGAAGGGGTCATAGTCTACATCGACGACATTCTGATTTATGCTAAGACTAAGGAGGAACTTAGAAGGTGCACGGTAAAGGTATTTCAAAGACTTAGGGAAGCTAAATTATTTGTGAAGGCGGCTAAGTGTGAGTTCGAAAGAACTTCGGTGGTGTTTCTCGGGTACGTAATTTCAAAATCAGGCATTCAGCGAACCCAGAATACGG